CCGGATTCGAACCTGGGACCTTTGAATGAGAGGCCAACACCTTAACCTCTAGGCCACGAGAGCCCCCTCGATATAGGTTTGATAGGAAAGAAGGAGCAAACCTCACTAGAGCAGACTGCAAATAAGTACTTTTGTGCATACTGCCACCCATACACAATTTGTTCAGTATCTACGACACATAAATAAAGAGAAGCAAACAGACACAATAGTGGTCATTTAGAGTAGGGGAAAAAAAAAGAAGCAAGATGACCGACAGTTTAGTTTTAGCAAGAGTATTACGGCACTTGCAACATAAATAGGTCAGATAAGTGCCATAGATTAGAGGTTTTACTAAAGAATAACATAAAAAGAAAAGAAGGAGGGAAGATAAGGACAATAGATATGTGATAGGAAAGAGGGAGCACCACATCAGAGCACTCGCCAGTTACTTAAGAAATAGGATTTGACAGTAGCACCTCCCAACCACCTACTTATTTTCCATACTGAGGAGCAGTTCACTCACCTCCAAACGTAGCTGACGCCTGTCGTAAGCGCTGGGGATCCTCTGAAGTATCACGATCGCCTTTGCCGGCAGCTTCACCTGCAACAAGACAGAGTTTAGTTTTAGTGAGGGTTTTACAGCACTTGCAGCACAATTAGGTCATATGAGTGCTGAAGATAAGAGGTGTTACTAGAGAGAAACAAACACAAAAAAGGACAGAAAAGGAAGATAGATGCTGATAGGAAAGAAGGAATAAACCACACCAGAGCTCTCAGTTTGAGTAGAGAAAAGGACATCGATGCAACAATGATCACTCAATGCTTGGAAAAAGCAAGATAGACAGACAGAAAGATAAGAAAAACAGAGGGAAAGTAAAGAAGTAAAACGTACCAGAGGAACCCTTCAACCATCCCCACAACCAGTTGTATAATAATAATAGTAGCTCCCGTCAATATCCGACAATGACCAATACATCTGCAGAGGAGAATTCTTTCTCCAGGTAAATAGAAGAATTTGAAGAATTAAAGGTTACGATGATATGGCTTCTGCTGTGGCTGATGAGACCAATTCTGACTGAGAAAAATTGGCCACATTTTGAACATTTGAAGGCTCCACTTCCACTTGAGGATGTGCGCAGCTTGCAGGCTTCTCTCTTGGTTTCAGCATTTCTTAGTCATGAAGCCTCATACGATTTGATGCCCACTGTGACTTCTGCTCTTCAGCTGGCTCTGTAAGCACTGATGTCTTCAAAAACATTCATTGAAGTGCACGCACGCGCACACACACACACACACACACACAGATACACAAAAATGCACACTGCGACACATCGATGCACTATCACACACGCACAGATTTAAACATGAACAGACACACAAAAAGAACACACACACACATAGCTTGACCCATAAACACACATATCAAAGAACAAGCACTGACACACTGACTCATACACACCTGAACAGCTGGGGGCTGGGGCTGTTGTGCTATTTCCTGTGGCCGCTCGTAGCCCGGACCTTCGCTCCCATTGTTCACCTGCCTGTCCTCGTCTATCTGAAGACACCAAAAAATACCACTGGATCAGTCTTGTTCTTTTTTGTTTTAGTAAGTGTTTTATGGAACTTGCAACACAATTAGGTCATACAAGTGCAGAAGATAATTATCATCATCGTCACATCCTTTATTTATCAATTTTTTTAAAAAAGCATAACAATTTGTACCATGTTGGCACATTTTTACGTAACGTACAAATAGTAGAACCAAAATCGGGACATGGGACCCCAATAAAAAGTGCTCAAGGTTTGAGGAGAGTGTAACAAAACTTTTAAAAAAGGAGGAGAGACGAGAACGACAGATGTTTGATATGAAAGAAGAAGTAAACCGCACCAGAGCATCCGCCCAACCACCCACACTGGATCAGTCAACACCAAACACTTTTCTAGATTTTGTACTTTCTGGTAAACAGTTTTACTGCACTTGCAACACAATTAGGTCATATTCTCGCTAAAGAATAGATATATTACAAGAGAGATGGTATGTTGGCCGAGGCCTGGAGGCTCTCTTTTGGATAAGTGCAGAACCCCCACCCCCCGGCAAGGCGGAGTCCTCGGTTTTGTACGGAGTCCAGCATTTTTAATATGTGAGGTCTTGCCGATATATACTTGATAGCCGTAGTCAAGCCTGTATTGGACGAGGGAACTTAAGTTTAGTTTTAGTAAGAGTTTACCGCACCTGCAACACAATAATGTCATTTAAGTGACGAGGAGTTAGAGGTGTTACAAGAGAGTAACAAACACCAAAAAAAAAGGAGGAACGATAGGTGTTTGATAGGAAAGAAGGAGCAAACCACATCAGAGCACCCGCCAACCATCCATGACAAGGGAACAGAAAAGGAGAGAGTAACACAAAAAAGGAGGGGGTAATGACACACCCTGCGTACACACACACAAAACACTCACCACTTCTATATAGCGGACAGGTATCTGACCCACGAGGCCACTGGTGTTCCTTGCTGACCACCACTCGGCCTCGTCTTTTGATATCAACTCCAGGACCTCGCCCCTCTTGAAGGGCAAGTCCTCTGGGTCCTGAAAACACAGGTTGACAGTTAGATAAGACACGACAAGATAAATTGGACAAGATCAGATATAAGAAAGAAAATAAGGCATTGTGAGATGAGATATGACAGGATAAGACCCAGCAGAAAGAACGAGATACTCGATAAAAAATGTCTCCCCACTGGGGAATCAAACTTGGGTCTCCTGCATGCGACACTGAAGTGCTTAAATCGTTCCATTACAAACAGCGGTAACCATGAATCAAACACCCACCCATACACACACAAAAAAAGCTTACATGAAGAGTAAAAATTACAAACAGATTATGGTACCTGAGATACCAACAAGATACAAATCAAGCAAATACAAGGTTGCTTACCCTTCCTGGAAATTCATATTTACATAGAAGTCTCGCCCTAGGTGCCTGTGAAGTTGGAACAAAAATGAAAAATGTCAAGAGTTGGGTAACATATGAGCTTAATTTAAACTAAAACAGTTTTTGTTTTTAAGTAAGAGTTTTACAGCATTGGTAAGGTCATATAAGTGCTGAAGATTATAGATGTTACAATAGAGTAAAAATCACACACAAAGAAAGGAGGTGAGATAAGGACTACAGATGTTTGATAGGAAAAAAGGAGCAAACTACATCAGAGCATCTGCCAACCACCAACAAAATTTATACAGATCAGCATTGTGCAATGACGGGGCCAATCACCAACATCTAATAGATCAGAAGTGTGCAATGACTGGGCCAATCACCAACATGTGACAGAGATGGGCTGTGTGTACCAACTGGCTCAATCACCAACCAGAGATCAGCAGTTCGCAGTGATTGCGTCAGTCACCAACATGTACAAACTGGCCCAACCAACCACAGTTAACACAGATGGGTCGTGCGTTATGACTTGGTCAATCAACAACATGTTACAAAGATGGGCTGCGCGTACTGACCGGGCCACACAACAACATGTTACAAAGATGGGCTGCGCGTACTGACCGGGCCACACAACAACATGTTACAAAGATGGGCTGCGCGTACTGACCGGGCCACACAACAAGTTACAAAGATGGGCTGCGCGTACTGACTGGGTCAATCAACAACATGTTACAAAGATGGGCCATGTAGGCTATGTATAAACAGGCCCAAACAACCACATGTAACAGAGACGGTTAGTTTTTGTTTTAGTAGAGGTTTTACGGCGCTTGCAACTGCAAATGGTCATATGAGCGCCAAGGGGTGGATGTCAACAGAGAAATCTTTACAGGGAATCAGACTTACTCTGCTCACCTCTTTAGCTTCAACAGCACATATTCTGCTTCGACTACCAAGGCACCACGGAAATAGTGGGTCAAACATACCCTGGGGGGGGGAGGAACAGAGACAGACGGCTGAGTCAAACAACCACAGGTCACAAAGACAGGCAGTGCTTACTGACCGGGCGTATAAGTGTGGTGGTGTCCAGGTAATGAGTCTTGTAGAAGTTGAGCAGGCTAGGGATGTCTGGGAACTCTTTGTCCCCAATCTTGAAGGACCCGGTGCCGCCTGACTGGATGCGGTTCACGATGTAGTGGCTCACTTTAGCGTCCTCTCTGAAAATACAAACGAAACATGAATATGCAAATGAATCATGGATGAAAATGAAGCAACACACAGATCATAGTCCAGAAGATAATTATATGTCAAGGTATCCAGAAGAAAATTCTGATAAAAAGAGTACAAATCAACATTTTGAGAAAATTCTAATTGAGAGAATGAAAATGTTTGTGGCAATTCTGAATGATTATAAGGATGAAAAATTAAATGACAATATTTGAACAAAGTTTACATACTTATGTGTCAGCAAAAAACAACAACAAATAACAGAAAACAATCACACATACATAACAGTAACGTAATGATGGTGGAAGTAAAAAGACAGTTTAGTTTTAATAGAGTTTTTACGGCGCTAGCAACTGCATAAGGTCATATGAGCGCCAAGGGGTGGATGTCAACAGAGAAGTCCAGAGGAAAATGACAATAGTAAGGATTAGGAAAGAAAATGCAGTAGTTCCCTGTTGTAGTTCAGGCACAGTTATGAGCCTGACATTGTTGAATCAGCCCATTTACATTTCTACTGTGTATAAGTGAAAGTCGAAGCACGTCTAAACAGTTTTAGTGCGAGTATTACGGCACATGCAACATATTTAAGTCAAATAAGTGTCGATGATTACAGGTATTGCTAGAGATTAAAATACAACTAAAAAAAGATGGAGGAGAGAAAAGGATGATAGATGTTTGGTTATTAGAGGCATTACTAGAAAGTAACGGACAAAGAAAGGAAGGAGGAGAGATAAAGATGATAGATGTTTCAAGGGGAAAAAAAAGAATTAAAAAAACCCACACCGGAGTACCCGTCAACCACCCACTATGTAAGACACAGACAGACAAACAAACAACAGAAGACAGACAGACAAACAACAGAAGGAAGACAGACAGGAGTCTCTACCAGTACCACCCTCCACCCGCCCGGCAGTCGTGTACTCACTTGACACAGAGCACAAAGTCCCCAGGCATGGTCTTGCTCTCCCGCACCAGGAACACGCCGCTGAACTGCTCCCTCTCCAGGATCCTGTTGGTCTCATCACGGGACAGCTGACCGAAGTACCAGCTGAAACACACACACAGAGGCACATATCAGACACAGAGGCACACATCAGATTTTGTTAGATTTTTGTTTATTGGGGG